ATTCCCGACTGCAAAGACACTTCGTCCGGCCAGACGAGAGCAAAAGAGGGGATCGCTTCGCGTCACTGTTGTGCGAGTTTGAGTTCAACATTGGCAATACCCAACAACGTCAACAACAAGCTCGGTGAGGTGAGCATATAGCGTATCTTCGATACCAAACCCTCACGCAGTTACCTTAATTATAACCCTAATTGCTAAGTCCCATGATCCTTTAAGTAAGGGTTCATGGTTCCAACAGAGTGGGGCTGGGGGCTCGGAGGGCCTGATGCAAGATTTAGTAGGGGTTTGAGTTGTGACAATGTTCCCTTGGAGTAGTATGATATACCCCTCTATGTAAATCCAATGATCTTTATTCAGAACCCCATAACTGAAAATAAAACCCCTAAATCCTGAACCCTGAAGCCCATCACATCCTGTAACCAGTAAGACTGCAATCTTCAACTCTGTTCTTCGTATTCAGGCCAACAGTCGTAAACCCTAAACCCTAGTACGTAGCTCGGAACCCTATAGTCAAGCCGAAGTAGAGGGTTTAAGGGTGGAGCGCCGAAGATGGAGTTTCCAACAGTTAGGGTTTAGGCGCGTTTAGGATTTGGGGTTCAGGTTTTGGAGTTTAGGCTTCGTTTAGGATCCTACTACTTAGGCTTCGACTAAATCCTCAACGCTAAACCAAACTTAGGAAGCCCTACGCAGGGGTCCTTTGTTGCCTGAACCTCCTGAGAGGGTCTAAGCCCAAGTCGTCAAGGCAAGGATTAGGCGGTTGGGGTTTGGGACTTCGGGCTTTGGGCTTAGGATTTCGGTTCGAGGGCTCAGGATTTAGGGACGGCAGCAGTAATCGAGGATTCCAAGGATCATGGGTTCATTACCCTCAGTATTGGGAGTGCTCCTTCCGTTCTACCAGTCCTGTACGGAAAGCAACGAAAAGTAGCGTTCATCAGTGATCATCCGCGGTGGTTGTGCGCAGGCGAAACTCTACACGCGGCATGCGCAGTTTGTCCAAACCCGCTGAACCCGATACGAGCATTGCCCCAGTGGTCCGTTCACCCTTGAGTCATATGTAGATGCGCCGTGAACCATATTCTGAACCCCGGCACCAGATACCTACAGCCTCTAAACCCTAAACCCTAAACCCTAACCCCTAAACACCTTCTTACGAGCCTGAAGGCCTAAGACCCTTAAGCCCCTAAACCCAATTCCTCCGACTCTCCGTATATGAACCCCAGACCTCGAATGAAAAAGTTTAGGGTTTAGGGTTTAGGGTTTAGGGTTTAGGGGGCAGCATCATCCCTTATAGAAACCTTACATAGCCTTCGACAACCCTTGTCAAGCCCTTGTTTAGTCTTATAACTCCTGCACCCTTTAGATTGCAAATTCTCAGAAATCATTGAAACACTAATATCAAACAGTACAAGTCACAGGCATGCAGTTACATACATGCATGCAGACACACACGGAGGCACGTGCAAAAGCGCAGTTTTCAACAAAACCCTAAACCCCCAAACCCTAAACCCTAAACCCCTAAACCCTAAACCCTAAACCCTGAACCCCTAAACCCCTAAACCCCTAAACCCATATAAGCCGCTTAGGCAAGAGTTCAGCTCAAGCAGGCAGCCTCCTCCCCCGGCATCCTGGGTGGCGCAGTTCGACTTCGACGAGCCCAGGGCCGCTGATCCCAGTGGACTTTTCAAGGTTAGGGTTTAGGGTTTAGGGTTTAGGGTTTAGGGTTTAGGGTTTAGGGTTTAGGGTTTAGGGTAGGGCCTGGGGTTTAGGGGTTTAGGGTTTAGGGTTTCAGTAGACTTTTCAAGATTAGGGCTTGGGGTTTCGGGGTTCCATTGTTTAGGGTTTAGGGTTTCGGGGTTCCACGGATTAGGGCTTGGGGTTTCGGGGTTCCACGGTTCCACGGTTTAGGGTTTAGGGGGGTTTGGGGTTTAGGGTTTAGGGTTTCGGGGTTCCACGGATTAGGGTTTAGGGTTTAGGGTTTCGGGGTTCCACGGTATAGGGTTTAAGGGGGTTTGGGGTTTAGGGTTTAGGGTTTAGGGTTTAGGGGTTTAGGCGTTATGGCTTATAGGGCCTAGGGTTTAGGGGTTTAGGGTTTAGAGTTTTGGCTTATAGGGCCTGGGGTTTAGGGGTTTTGGCTTATAGGGTCTGGGGTTTAGGGGTTTGGGGGTTCATAAGGGTTATCTGCTTTGATGTTTTAGGCATGCCTGAAAAATCAAATTAGGGGTGTAGGGGTGCAGGGTTAAGGGGTATGAAGCGCAAAGGTTTTAGGGTTTGGGGTTAAGGGTTTAGGATTTAGTGTTGGAGAGCTTCGGATTTTGTCTTTCGGGTTTAGCCGGTTTTGCGTTTAGATTTTAGAGTCAGGGATTTGGATTTCGAGATAATTTGGAGTCAAAGTCCAAGGGCTTGGAGCTTGAATTTAGGAACCCAAAAAGAACATAAGCATAAGCAGTTTGTAGGGATACCCCTACCTCATTGGGCTTCACTATAAGGGGGTTTATATGGGATATCCCTATCCTAACTTTTGCTTTATGTGCTGTTTTGGTGCCCTATGAATGAAGGCCAGGGTTTAGGGTTTAGGGGATTTAGGGTTCAGGATTCCCCTTCCCACGCATGAATCTTGTGTTTAGGGTTTAAGGGTTTAGGGGTTTAGGGTGTAGGGGTTCAGGGTTTCGGGTTTAGGGGTTTAGGGTTTTTCAATCCTTGATCCCCACAATCCGGAAATCCCTAAAAGCCTTACTTAATTAGGGTTTAGGGTTTAGAGGCATTAAAACCCCACCGCCGTATCTGGGGCCACCAGGAATTGATTTGGAACTGGGAAGCTTGAAACTCACCTCGGGGTGGCCCATGGTTCTGTTCTGAGGTTTAGACCTTCAACCCGAAGACCCGAAACCCCTAAATCTTCATTCCTAAGACCCCACACCCTTCAACCGTAAGACCCTACTTCCTAAGACCCTAAACTCCTACACCTTCAACCCCGAGACCCGAAACCCTGAGACCCCCTAAACCCCTAAACCCTAAACCTTAAACCCCTAAACCGTAAACCCTAAACCCTAACCCCTAAACCCTAAACCCTAAACCCTCAACCCCTAAACCCAAAAGCGGGACCGCGGGCCTTGTCCAGGAGGAGCCTGCGGGTGCCAGAAGAGCAGATGCCTCGAGGCCCGACCCGAAGAGAGTGGCCTTTCAAGGGCTGTTTGGGTTTAGGGTTTAGGGGTTTAAGGTTTAGGGTAGGGTTTCGGGTTTAGTTTTTTAGTTGTTGGGGTTCCTTTCAAGGGCTCCTTCTTGGGTTTGGGGTTTAGGGGTTTAAGGTTTAGAGTATAGGGGTTTAGGGGTTTAGGGTTGAGGGTTTAGTTTTTATGGGGCTCTATAGAGGTTTAGGGTGTTGGGTTCCTCTAAGGGGTTCTCTAGGGGGGTTTAGGGTTTCGGGTTCCCTTTTGTGTTCTTTAGGGGTTTGGGGATTAGGGGCTTTGGGTTTTGGGGCAGGGGTACGGATCAGGGATAAGCTTGCAGTTTGCACCTCTGGATGGACGTAGCCGGACCGCGATACAAACCATGAGACGCGTTGCGTCAATTAAATAGTAACGCAGTAGCCGAACAAGATAAACTTAAACCCTAAACCCTAAACCCTAAAACCCTACAGAACCTGTAGTAGTGCTCCTAGTGATGCCTTTCTTGTAGTACAGAAGTACTAGCACGAAAGGAACTTATCATGGCTGCTGCAGCGAAAACCATACTTGCAGGCTAGTCATACAAGGGCTACCGGGCCACAATGGACCGCCCAACACAGTAGAAAGTCATCACCTAAGGCGCGCGAATGCGTTCATGTGTCAGGCTTGCCTATTGGCGTTTCGATGATGGTTGTCCAGTTCTCATGCTGATGATGCTAAACCCTACACCCCTAAACCCCTAAGCCCTAAACCCCTGAAACCCTAAAACCCTAAAACCCTAAACCCAAAAGCGTGCAGGGGTTTTGGCTTTTGTTGCGTATGTGTAGATGAACTTCGAAAGCTTATTGCCCAAGCGCTCTGGGTTTAGGTCGTAGGCTTTGAGGTTCTGGATTTAGGGCAGCCTCTTGCAACAGAGCTCTGAGGTTGAGGGTTCGGCACTGAAGGCTGTGCTCTTGTGACTTGAACTTTAGGGCTTTGGAGCTGGGGCTATGTGGGCCCCAAACCTTAAACCCCTATACCCTAAACCTAAAACCCTAAACCCTAAAACCCTAAAGCCCTAAACGCTAAAACCCTAAAACCCTAAACCCCAAAACCCTAAAACCCTGAACGCTAAAACCCTACGACCCTAAGCCCCTAAACTCCAAGCCCTAAACCCTAAACTCGAAGCCCTAAAGAGGTCCCTGGAGGCACAATTCCTCGATGCCCCACCCGACCTCGCTACCGGCCCGGTCCTCGAAAGCCTGGGGTGTAGGGTTTAGGGTTTAGGGTTTAGGGTTTAGGGTTTAGGGTTTAGGGTTACCTGGAGCTACCAAAACCTACTTGGTTTGGTAGGGTCCATACAAATTTCATATTTTGTAGCAGGAACAGTAGGAACCTTCAAACAAAAGGTATGGTAAGGTATCGTTTAGGGGCTGAGGGTTTGGGCTTCAGGGTTTGAGATTTGGGAGCTTTTGGGTTGGGGTGTAGGGATAAACCCCTGAACCCTAAACCCTAGAGGGTTTATGGTTTCGGGGCTTCATTTTCCGGGTTTCGGTGTTTGCTGGGTTTTGCGGTTCGTGGCTCGGCCTGCTGGAGTTTGCGGTGTGGGTTTATTTAGGGTTCAGGATTAACCGTCAAGGGTTTGGGTTTTACTTGGGTGGGTTTGGGGTTCAGGGTGTAAGGGTGTGGGAGGCGGTGTTATGAGGGTTCTACCAGAGTTAAGCTAAAGGCTTGTATATACAGGGGTTGCTATGAAGAATGCTTGAGCGGCGGGAGCATTAGGGTAAGCGCTTTACGGTTTAAGGGTGTAGGGTCTGAGGTTAGTGTTTGTTAACAGACAATAGGAGGGACCCCTAATCCTAATACCCTAGAAAGCCCTTATATACCCCTTATATAGTTTCACAAAGCCCCTATATAACCCCGCAAGGGTCGCTCCTTTAGTCCCTTGAGTTTGCGGTTTAGGAGTTTTCGATTACTAGGGTACCTTATTTTGGGGTCCTTATGATAAGGATCCTACTATTTAGGGTACTATATTAGGGTCCCCTGTTTTCGGAAACCCCCATTTAGGAGGGGTGCAGGTGCGCAGGGTTGGGCGTTTCGTTTCGCGAGTTCAGGGTTGGGGTTTAGGGTTTAGGGTCTAGGGTCTAGGGTTTAGGGTCTAGAGTCTAGGGTTTAGGGTTTAGGGTTTAGGGGTTTGGGGTTTAGGGTTTAGGGCTTAGGGTTTAGAGCCTCAGGGCTTCAAGAGTTGGGCCAGGACCAGGAGTGACTTTTGAAGGGTCAGGAGTGGTTTGTGACTTCCATGTGGCCTCGGATCGGGTTCTTGGGCTTTGTGGTTTAGGGTTTAGGGTTTAGGGTTTAGAGATCGGGTTCTTGGGCTTTGTGGTTTCAAGCTTGGGGATTTTGGCAGTTCGGGTATGCGTCGCAAAAAGTAGATCTGAGGATAAGGCCATCGGCAAGGAGTGGGGCGGCGGGATATCGAATCCAACTGCAGATGCAGCTAGCTGGAGCTAGCACACCTTGACAGTGCCGATTCGTCAATTTCGAACGGTTGCCCATCGAGTAGGAGTTCGGGCAGTCTTTCCTCTCATCGCTGTCCCTAAAGTATGCGAGACCGCTCATGGCGAAAATCCAGGAACCCTCAACCGAAATCTCGGGGTTTCAGGTTTCAATGAGACAAAAATTGCCACATAGACCCAAACAGCTCAAAACTCTCCAGACCTCTGTATTTTTTGGGGGTTTAGATCACTGCATCTTGCGTTCAGTGCAAGTTACGGTTATCCCATGTTACGCCATTATGAGCCATTGTGAGTTTAATCTCAGAAGCCTCAGAACCCCGCACCTGAACCCCCCCCAGTTTGTTAGAGGCTCCTTGACATTTGGCGGGCTTTTACAAGCAAGGTAGTTGCTTCTACGACACAGCCATCAGTAGAGTATCCACAAACCTGCTTGCCGCCATCAGTCGTATTGTGAGCATTGTGACAAAACCTTGAGAGATTGTGTATGTGTTTATCATTATTGGTGTTCGTACTATGATCAGCAGTAGTAGTATTAGTAGTAGTAGTAGTAGTAGTAGTAGTAGTAGTGGTAGTAGAAGTAGCAGTAGTAGGAGTAGAAGTAGGACTAGGAGTATTGATAGCAACAATAAGAATGACAACCGTAATCATATTGGTTGAAGCAATAGCCGCAGCAGCAGCATTATCACCCTCAACCCTCAACCCTAAACCCTAAACCCTAAAACCCTACAACCCTAAACCCTAAAACCCTAAAACCCTCAACCCTAAAACCCTAAACCCCTAAACCCTAAAACCCTCATCCCTAAACCCGAAACCGTCAGCCGTTCGCCTTCAAACAAAAGGCACGGCGACTGCCAGTCACTCCAGAGCTGGGCCCTCGGTTCGAGCGGGTTTAGGGTTTTAGGGTTTTA